CCTCTCAAATAACAAGGCAAACAAATCTTATCAGCATATAACGAATAACTTGAAGGATAATTTTGTACAGGGTGAAAGCTGTGGTTATCAACATCTCCTTTCAGAGACAATAACCTGGAGGGTCAGGCACAGCAAGTGAACTGCTCAAAATTACTCAGCCTTCCAGTCTCTGACAGATGCAGCTAGAACTTGGTTTGTCATAGGTCAAAACCTGTGCTTCTCAGAGCAAACGGTTAATCTGCTCAAAAACTAACCAGAAAGGCGGAGGCTGGAGTCCACTCAGACATATCTTAGAAGAAAGGGTGGGTGGGTGATCTATTTTCAAAAAGTCAACTAGTGAAAACCCTATGGAGCATTCTATATATATATAATTGGCTTATTCACAAAGTTTATATACACTATGTTTCATACATACACTATGTTTCATTCTCATGCATTATGTTTTATAAAATTAATCACTATTAGACCTTGCCCAGCATTGCCCTGTCTTTTCACCCAGATCCTTCCCATTTGCTTTCCCCCCTCCCTCCAACAGCAAACTGAGCAGCTCTGTGGTTTCACCCCTTCACTCCCCCCACCCCCTCCCTGAGTTCCTGTACTATGTTATCCTTCTATTTTTACAATAATATTCACACAATGGAATACTACGCCGCACTCAGAAGAAAGTGTTTTGAAAAATACTACGTTAACTTTGGAGAGGTCGGAGAGCACTATGCTCAGTGAACTAACACAGTCTCATAAGGACAAATACTGCACTCTTTTATTTGCACACCCTGGGAGTCACAAATCAGATTTAATGCCTCGGTAGGTAACTGCATTACTGGTTATCCTAGCCTGAGGCAGAGGGACACAAAGCTCTGCTCAATTTCCTGCGCCCGAGGGCAAAGGTTGTGTTTAGAGGCACAGAGTCCATGGTCATAGGCAGACAACTTGAGTCTCACTCTCTGCTTTTTTATCTGTAAAACAGAGCTAGTATTTCCTGCCTCCTGGGGTTGTTTTGAGGATTCTACGCATTAATAGATCTCATTCTCTTAGATGACTGCCTCACTCAAGGTAAGTGCCACATAAATGAAAGCTCTTCCTAGCTGCTGAACCATCATGTGTCCCTGCCGTATGCTATAGCCAAATGTAGTCTGTCATCACCTGAGGATCTGGAGAATACCTATTCTGTGTGGTAGGCAGCCAGTGCGATGCTAGAACAAAGAAATGTGGTTATGAGAGGGGGGGAAAAAGAAGTCCTGTTAGATCACATCACAGCCTTGATGTTCAAAGCCAAGTGCCCCAGCTGCTCCCCTCTGTGGTCAATTCTCTTGCTTCTGACATCAACCCAGAGGCATAGCAGCTGAAACAGAACCACAGGAGTCAAGAAAATCTGTACAGAAAATCAGTCTTTAAAAACACACACAGACACACACTACAAACCAGCAGGTTTTGCCTTTCCCTGATATGAATGTCTTTTGTGCTAATCAAGGGATTTTTTTTTCAACCAGAATTTAAATGTGCAGCTCAATAGCTTAAAAAAAAAGGCATTTATTCATCTTGAACCTTTGAAAGGTACTTTAAACTGGCAGGAGACAGCAATGTAACCGTGGAGAAAGCTGTGAGTTTCAGCATGCTAAAACGAACCTACGTTTCTTTTCCCCTTGAAAAACCACATCTAAAGGTTTCTGACCATGTGCACAGCCTCTTGCTCTTCTGTCTCTTGGCCCCAAGGCCTAATCAGCATTGTGGTTGGTAGTGACTTTGAGTGTTTGCTCAGCACACATACACCACTGCCAGTTTGCTTCTCCATAGCTCTGCCTCCAAAAATCCTACTGCACAGCTTCCTTTTGCCCTCTTCTGCAGTTTTGGTTTTGAAGGAAAATATCAGTACTTCCTTGAAAAAGCTGAAGACTCTTTGGACTTTGATCAGCCCAATATCACTAGAGAAAGGGGAAGAAAACATATGTAGCTATCTCTAGTACCAGATTATAAAAATAAGGGAAGCAAAGGAGACTGCCAGCTTCACAGTGTTACTCTAAAGATTAGCTCCTTAGCAGCCAGTCCACACCAGGGCACTGCTTAGAGGACTGTTTGCTGAGCAGACCCAGGAGCAAGCAACTAAGCCTGCCTTTTAAAAACTGCCCCAACTCTCCCCCCTGAAATTTAAATAAAGGCACCAGAGCCTTCGTGCAGACATAGATATGGGCAGTACAGATGCAAAGAGTTAGGACTTTCAGCTGCTAAATGAAAGGCTGGAAGGTCTAAGTCCACCCAGAAGTGCCTCCCAAGAAAGACCTGGTGATCTACTTCCCCAAAAAACAAGTCACTGAAGACCCTCGTGGGGTTGTCAAAATGGCTTTCCTAGCCACTGGCTTTGACTTTTGTCAGATGTTTAGGTGAGACTAGGCTAAGAGGTGAAAAAGGTGAATGGTACTTGTTGGGTGGGAACATGCAAACAAGGCCTGTAGGCTACTAATGAGAAGAATGGTCACTCTTGCTGTCCACCCTTGCAGGCTTATAAGGAGAAAACAGGAATCTCTCTACCAACAAGACAGATGTGAAGAGTCCTACATCTATGTAGACCTGAGATTCCTGTGGGAGTCAAATGGGGATCAAGACGAGAGAAGAGAAGCAGCTGCTGGTGCAGTGGAGGACCAGAGACCAACAGGAGACAGAGCTGAAAGAGGACGGCTGCCCCCCACAGCCAGAGCCCCAGGGGGTGCCCTCACCCACACCTACTGAAGGATGGGTGGGGAAATGCCAGATCCGGAAGGACTAGAAGAGATTTGTAGCACCGGTCTAGAACATCAAGGCTAAGGTCAGAGGGCCTGCAAGTCCACCCAAGAATCAGTCCCGACGGAAGAACTTGAACTTTAACTTGTTAATTTCCCTAATAAACTCCATAATCGGGAATATGGTCTGTGAGTTCTGTGCGGTCACTGAAACAGGTTATGAGACTCAGTAGTAGAACAGCGAGGACCATGCGGGGTATGGTTGGTGTGAGAAATGGCAGAAGTAGGTACGGAGAGCATGCGGCGATATCTGGCTTCATATTGTTAGGTGTCATCAAGCTGAGTATGATTCAGTGACTCTATGAATAAAATATCGGAACTCTGTCCTATCCTGTGCCATCCTTACAATCTCTGACATACTCTAGCCCATTGCTGCAGTCACTGCCTCAATTTACCTGGTTGACAGTCTTCCTCTCTTTCGCAATTCCTCCAGCTTTCCAAGCATGATGTCCCTCTCCGAGGAATACCCTTCCCCTAGCAACATGCCCACAGTATGTGAAATGAAGAGTTGCCATGTTTGCCTCCAAGCAGTACTCTGGCTGTACTTTCTTCAAGACATATCTGTTAGTTCATTTGGCAGCCCAGGGGATGCTCACTGCTCTTCTCCAACATGACAACTCAAAGGCATCAATTCTTCTTCTGTCAGCCTTATTCACTGTCCAGCTCTCAAATGCACAACCAGTGATTAAAAAGAGAATGATCTGAATTAGGCACACCTCAGTCTGCAAAGTGATATCACTCTTGTTGTTGTTGTTATGTGTTGTCAAGTTGACTACCACTCACAGTGACCCTATGAACAATGGCTCTGAACTCTGCCCAATCCTGAGCCAACCTCACCATCGCTTGCATACCTGACCCCACTGCCACAGTCACTGTGTCAATCCATCTCATCAAGGGTCGTCTTCTGTGCTCACACTCTACCCTTCCAAACAAGATGTCTTTCTCTAAGGCAACACACCCAAAGTATGTGATCTTGGCAGAAAGTACAAGTATGTCTACCTGTGTTTTATCAACTATGCAAAAGTATTTAACTGTGTGGATCACAACAAATTGTGGCTACAATTGACAAGAATAGGAATCCTAGAATACTTGATTGTGCTTACACAAAACCTATACCTAGACAAGGTAGCTATTCTTTAAACAGAGCAAAGGAACATTGCATGGTTCAAAATCAAGAAAGGAGTGTGTCAGGAATTTATCCTTTCTCCATACCTTTACCATCTATATGCTATATTCAGGAGGCTGGTCTAGTGTCATTGCTCCTCAGCAATCTGGAGAGGTGCATGACTGCAGATTTTCTCAATGCAATATATCTCCTGATCTCCTGACTACTGGTACCAAGGATGCTGATTGTGGATCCAAGTACAATGAGTTAGTGACAGCTTCAATCATCTATCTATCTATCTATCATGATGGCCTTGTGATGAGGACTTTTGTTTTCTTGATGTTGAGAAGCAATCCATACTGAAGGCTTTGATCTTCTGAAGAAAGTGCTTCACTTTTGGCAAGCAAAGTTGTGTCATCTGCATAACATAACATAGGTTGTTGATGAATCTTTCTCCAATCCTAATGCCACATTCTTGTTCACAGAGTCCAGCTTATTGAATTATTTGCTCAACATACAGACTGAATCAGTGTAGACGGAGACAGGATACAGCCCTGATACATACCCTTGCTTATTTTAAACCATGGGTAATGTTCCCTTGCTCTTCCACAGCCTCTTGGTCTAGATAATAGGTTTCACAAGAGCACAATTCAAGGATTCCCATTCTTTTCAATGTTAGCCATGACTAATCAACAAAACTGAACTATTCTAACCTCATAGGAACTGGTTTTATATTGTTGATGTTTGTGGATGGGGAAGGTTCTCCCTTGTGGAGTTAGTGGAGGACAGACACCAGTATCCCCATGCCTACACCCCATGCTCACCTTTCCACAGCCCTGCAATTCTACTCTGACACATATGAGGCGCCACGAGTCAGAGCCGACTAGATGGCAACAAGTTTAGTGGTTATGCAGGTGTGAGGGAAACAAATAATGCCCTGGTTAAGTTCTTATGCCCACTGATGGGCACTGTGTGATTAGGAACATAGACTTGGGCTTGAAATCCACCTGCAGAAAAGGCAAAGGCAGTTTGTCCCATCAGGCCTCTGGACAAGTCCCACATCCTGTTTGATACAGACTTTCTTTCAGAACCCCAGCTCAGACATGGACACGCTTACTTACCTCGACTTTGGAGGTGGGGGTGGAGGTGAAAATGCCTCAATTCCACTTCTGTCCTTGGGGAACTCAAAGGCAAAAGAGGCTGATTTACTCATTCCAGTCCCAGCTTTGCTGTTTGGTCTGGAGGAGCCATCTACTGGGTGGAGACGGTGCCAAGTGGAGGAGTGTGAGGAATCCGAGTTGCCATTTTCCATTTCTTTTCCCCAGGTTTGACTCACCAATTCCGGTTCCACCTCCTCCTCTTCTTCTATTCGGCACTGACGATTCCAGGCACCAGTCTGGTACCTGGGCCGCCTTTGGTCCAGGGTGGGGACAGTGGTGACGATGGAGGGCGGGCACCTGACAGAGTCACTGGTGGTAATACCATTTGTACGGCAGGAGGAGGCAGGGTCAACAGGGCCTCTGGATGAAGACTGACTCCCAACACCTTTGCTAGAGCTGCCCTCGCTGAGGTCAGCTAATGGGGAGGCAGATGGTAACACAGGGGACCCTCCAGGGCTACTCTTGGACAGCTTAGGGGGAATGGCAGGCCTGCCTTTGGGCGTATTTTCACCTACATCATGACGGTGGCTGTCCCTGGAGCTCAGCCCCTGCCCAGCTGATGTTTCCCCTTCACCTGCCTCGGATTCCTGGCTCACAGGTCCTCGTGGCCACTGTACTCCCACTGCTGAGTCAGGGCTGCTCAGGCATATTGTCCGGTGATCCTCTTCCGGATGGGCAGCTATGACGGTGATGGTGGCTGCCACCTGGGTGGCCATATCAGGGCCGTCCCTGTCCCAGGCACCTGCTGTTTTCTGAGCCCAAGCATTACCTGTCCGTACCTGGCCTTGGCCCTGAGCAGGTACTGCCTGTTCTGCCTTGGTCTGGGGTCTGGATGGTGCTGGGCCCGGCTTCTTCCTCTTGGTACTCTCAGCATAGATGGGTTCAGGTTGCCCAGACTCCCCGGAGGGTCCTGGGGGCTGGGCACCCCCAGACTGTGTAAGGCATCTGTTAGAGTTCACCAAATGGCAGCCTGTTTCTTGCTGCTTCTCCAGGACGGGCTCCTTCATGAGGGAGCAGTAATCGCTCTCGAGATGGGGGGCAAAGGGGCTACTGGTGCCACTGCTGCTGCTCCCACAAGAGATGCCATCTGAAGAGCTGGCGGCCTCTGAGGTAAGGGATGCCTTCTTGAGCCCCAGGCGGGAGGGATGCTCTGCTGCGTCTTGGGGACAGCAGTCCCTCGGAAAGCCCAGCACCCGCTTGTCCTCCTCAGAGGACCCAGCACACGCAGTCTGGTTCCAGCATGCTGGCGGGCAGTCCTCCCTCCCATGTCGGCTCCCGGAACCCTCGGCTGGCAAGGTGTCCTTGGCAGCAGGGCCCTCAGGGCAGCAGTCCAGGATGGAGCAGTACTCTCCCCCATCACTGTCCCCTGAGGGCGAGCACCTCTGATCACTGTCATCCTCTGAAGGCAGGGATTCCCGCAGGGGCTGTGGAGAGAAGAAGGTTGCAGGGCCCTTGGTGCAGCCGGATGACATCTCTGCAAAGGTGGCCAGTTTCTGGCGGAAGGTCTCCTGATGAGAGGTCAGCTCTTGGTGAGGTAATGTGGGTTTTCCCTCTCGCCCGCCCTTGTCACTGGGAAAATTCACGGGATGATAGGTGATGCTCCTCTCTCCCCGGGTCTCCAGACTGTGCAGGCCAACCACGGCATATGCGGGGGGACAGCGAGGGCCGCCTTCTGTAGGCACAGAGGGACTACCAGGCTTCGGGGCACCACGGAAGCTGCTTGGGTAAACTCTTGACATGTCATCTTGCTTCGGGAGTGGAAGCTTGCTCGGTGCTAGTCTCCAGGTGGCCTAGAGTCCAAAGGTTGAAAGATTCATATAAGATTTTGCTCTAGCAAAAAGGGAGAGAGAAAAAGAAAAAGAAGTTCCTGTGATATGATAAATTGTCTCCTGCACCGGAGTGAAGGAAGACAGCTGCTGGTCGCTCATCAGGGCACAAGCTCCAGCCCGCCCACCTTCTGATCTCCCCACAAGCCTTATTATCACTGCTGGCACCCAATGAGCCTCTCATCCTCCCAGATACTGAGCTGCACTTCCTACTGGGAGCCTGTCATTCTTCTGGCTTAGGTTTGTGTGGCGGGAGGAAAAAAAAATCTGGAACAGAACAAGTGACATGTGGAATGAAATTCTCAGGCTTGGGGTTTTAATTTTGCCTTTTGCTTGCTAATTTTATATAATTATTTACAAACATGTTGGGCATTCCTCAGGAAATCCAGAGTCCTAAGAATGTTATCTATTAGAGTGGATGGTGGGATTTGGGACGGAAGGTGAGGAGAGGCTTCTGAGCTGGGTCACAGCTTCCCTGTTTCGTTCTGAGTTTTGTTCTTTGCCACTGCCCTTTCTCACAGTTGCAGATGGTGTTTTAGCCTAAGTTGACAAAAGTGGTTGAGCTACAAGAGAGATGTACCCTGGTCATTATCACTGTGAGAATAATGATGTATCTTCTTACTTCTCTTCTAAAGTGTCCTCCTCCTCTCAACTTTTAGAAGTGACCTCCATACAGGGCTGGCATTGGACTCTTTTCCAAGTGATTCTGAACTTGAAAATTCCCTGTTTTGCATCTGCGAACACTAAATGGAGCCAAAATGGCCTGGTGAAGGAATGTAGCCAGCTTAGGAAAGTGGGTGCCCACTGTGAGCCTTTCCCTGAAGGAGCCACTGCAGCCACAGGAACGGTTTCCCCTCAAGCCTTTCCAGATGTGAAACTGACCTTTGTCTTCTCTCTTCGTCTCTCTCCTACATACTCCCCCACTCTTTCTGATCCACTCACAATGGTTCAGGAAAACAAGGAAAATGCAGACATTAAGCAGGTAGTGATTCTTAGAACATGTCCTAGACATGCCTAAAGGCTGCAGACTCTAGCTGCCCTGCTCTGTGTGTCCTCTAGGAATGTGACTGATTTTAGTGATTCGAGATCACAGCTCATAAAACTCAAGGCCAACAACTGAAAATATCAACACTGGCTAGATACTGAATATGATATAAGGGATCACTGTTAATATTTCTTTTAAATTTTTTTCACTCTTAATATTTTTAAATGTGGTAAGTTGTTGGTTATATGCTTTTACAGTGCTTATCTTTCAAAGACATGTGTTCAGATAATTCAGTGCTGGGTATTTGGTTTAAAATCACAGCAAATGGGGAGTGGGTGATGACAGAGACAAAATAAGTCTATGCCTGAGTTGATAGTTGCTGAGGCTGAGTGATGGGCATGTAGGAGAACTACTTGTACCCACACTTAAAATTACCAATTTAAAACTTTCAAAAATGCCCAGTGTTCATCACAACACTATTCACAACAGCTAAAAAAGTAGAAACACCTAAATGTTCACTAACAGATGACGGACAAACAAAACGTGGTACCAGCATACAATGGACAACTGCTTAGCCAGAAAAAGAAATGAAATGTTGGTGCATGCGAAAACCTGGATGAATCACATTTAGTGAAATAAGTCAGTTCTAAAAGAATAAATGTTGCATGGATTCCAAAGTGGTTCCCATGGGTAGGAGGGAGGGGCAAAGAGGTAGCATGCAATGAGTTTCTGTTAATGGTGGTGAAATAATTTGGAAGCAAATAGCAGTGCAAGTTGCATAATTAGATGTAAGTAATTAAATTTTGTTTGGTAGTACATGTGAAATACTGGTTGAACTGGCAAGTTTTTTGAGCAATATATACGTGTAAATCTATCTATCTATATTTATATATTTATAAAAACATAGATATCTATAAATATATGCATATACACACATATATACATATATACACACACATATATTTTAAGGTGGGAGAAAGATGGGCAATCTCTTCCCATTCGATTAACTGCCTCTGAAAACCCGCCAGAGGATCTGCTATGGGTCGGTTCCAACTCGACAGCACACAACAAGAAACAACAATATATTTTCAGGCACAGTAAAACAATTTTTTTAAAGCTTAACTTTCCCCCCCAAAAAAAGCTCTATTTTGACCTTCCCTAATATATTCTCCAGAAAGCAGAATGAAATTCTAAGGGGTTGAGTTAGCAGGTCTTAGCCGAAAGGGCAACAGAGAATGGGGGGGCAGGTAATCATCAAATACCAGTTGTCAGGAAAGAGCAATCTTGGGGCAAGCCGAGAGGAGCCCTGCCACAGGATTCCTGCTCTGACAGCCTTCCCTGGCTGCCCGCCAGTCACCAAGTGTTCCAACAGGAACAGCCCCTGTAAAAATACCACAGGCGTTAGTCAGCCTCACCTTCGTGACTTCAGCGGTCACACCGGTCTCCATCCACATTTCAGAGGCCTCAGAGCTCATCATGGTGGGCTTCACTGCGATGGTGGGTTTGGAGTAGAGCAAGCTGTTCACACCCTCATCTTCTAGGCGGCAGAGCTCAGGCCTGAGGGTCTGGCGGGACGGAGGGGGCAGGCTGCCTGCTCTGGACTGGGGGTGGCCGGCCACCAGCTGGTGGTCGCTCCGCAAGCAGAAGCAGTTCTTGCAGGACCCGGGCTTCCAGATGTGCTCCACAAAGTCACTGCAGGCAGACATTTTTGGGTTCTCGGTGGTCAGTCGGATGGTCTGGTGCATCTTGAGTGGTCAGTGTGGTTCATTTTGCACTCGGCTCTCTGGCGTGATACTGGCAGATGATGGTGACAGAAGAGCTTCCTGCAAAGGCAGAACACTTACTTAGAGATCTCTACACCAGAAGGCAAGGACACTATTGGATCAGGGAGTGGAAGGCGAAAAGGAAGGAAAACAATGGTAAAGATTATTATTCCATGTCTTCTCATTCCCTCACCCATTTTTCACAAAGTTCTTTCTTAGTCACTGTCCAGTGGTGTGTCCTTATCAGAAGCTGTAAATGCCAAGCAGTATTACTCTGCTCCAGAAGCAGTGCATAAAAGGCATTCGGCTCTCTAAAATCTGGAGCACTAGGCAAGGAGAAGCCTGACCTTTTGTATATACTCCCTGCAGTAGGGACACTGTCCCAGAGGAACAAGAACGATGGATAGGAAAGCATGTAAGAACAGGGGCTTCCAGAGCCACAATTTCTGACCAAGAACTATATGAGAAGAGAGCCAAGCTTGGCCCTTGAAATCAGCATTGTTAACCCTGTTTCTGACCAGGAAGGGACTGGGGAAAGACTAAGGGAAAAGGGAGAGGTGAGATGTGGACTGCTCCCCACAGGGGAATCTGGAGACCTGGAATGCTTGGAATTTGCCTCCTTGCTTAATATAAGTTCTTTAACCTTACGCTTAGTGAGGTCAACAAAGTTCATGAGGGGCAGATCAAGGGGGCAAACAAAAGAGAAAGAAACGCATGATCACCACAATTCTCTACTGAGAGAGAGAAAGAGAGAACAAGCAGCTGCCTTCAAGTCAATTACAAGTCCTGGTGCCCCCATGTGTGTCAAATGAGACTGTGTCCTGCAGGGTTCCCAATGGCTGAGTTTGCAGAAGGATACTACTGTGAGGCCTTTCTTCGGAGACATCTACAGATAGACTCGAACCTCCAACCTTATGGTTAGCTACTGAACAATAGCCCAAGAAAAAAGAGACTGTCAAATGGCAAGAAGCTGCACTTCAAACCCAGAGGCACACAGTATATTCACCAGCTGTGCCATGGGAGAAGGACGGACAATCATCTCCTCTTATGCAATGAACAGCCTCTGAAAACCCCCCAGAGGGTCAGCTATGGGTCGGTTCCAACTAGATGGTATACAAAACAACAATAACTGCAAGATACAAGATTGATATTGTCAGTTTGTAGAAAGAGTTCATTGTCTCTAAGAATTAAACCAAAGGTAACGATTTGTACCATCCAAAGCAAAACTGCACTCATTGCCCTTGAGTTGATTACAAAGTAGTGTACTTAACTAAGAAGAGATGGGGAAGGATAGATGCCAAAATACACGGAGATGTCCAAGGAACCAGGAGTTGAGACAAGTCTGGTGGGGGCACACAGAGAAAGCATTTCCCTGGAGCCAGTTTTGGATTTAGAATTCTAGCCTACTAAACAATGAGAAGGTAGAAGCTGTTTGTTAATGTCATTTGTTTGTGGCATTTCTGTTATGGCAGCACTAAGACAGAATTTGGTGTCAGAAGAGGGGACACTGCTTTAACAAATACCTAAAATGTAGAAGCCATTTTGGAATCTAGAAATAGGTAGAGGCTAAAAGAGTTTTACTATATGGAACAGCAAAAGCCTTGGGAAAAAATAGTAATAGAAATACAGATAAAGTTTCTATCTTTTAAAGGAAGCTCTGGTGGCCTACTGGCAAGAAGGCGCACTGCAAGCCCAAAGGCACATGGTTCAAGACCACCAGATGCTCTATAGGAGAAAGATGGGTAATCTTTTCCCATGCGATTAACTGCCTCTGAAAACCTGCCAGAGTGGTCAGCTATGGGTCGGTTCTTACTCCATGGTACACAACAACAAAAGAAGAGAACATATATAGCACCAGCAGGAGAATGTTCTACAAATATGGATGTTAAATGTACTTCAGATGAGAGTGTAAAAGAAAATTATAAACACATGATTAAGCAGTGGAGTAAGAGTAATGTATTTTATAAAGTAGAAAAAAAAGTTGTCTGAATTATGTGCAAGTATTTGGTAGAAGATAAAACTCATAAGGATGAAACTGGGGTTATAACTGAGATTTTAAGTTAGTCACATGAATTCTCCTTGCCACTTAGAGGAACATGTGAGCAGAAAGAGAGGGACTCCAAAATGAACTGTGCAAAAGGAAGACAAAACAGAAAAATTGGGGAAATGATCTTCTGCAAACTAAAAACATGTATGCTAGACTATTCACTAACGTGAATACATACTATGGGGCTGCATAGTCTTTTACTAGGGAGTAAGCCTGAGACTGATGGAATCAACTACCCCATCAGAAAACTCATCAACTTAGACTGAAAGGGCCAGAAAAATTAAAGAAAAGAATGAATGTTACTTGTCTCTTGGAATTTTATAGGCAAGTAATAAGCTAAAGGAGTGATATCCATTGTCTGCCAAGAAAAGAACCACCCCTGAAGTAGCTATGAGATTGGGGGTGTGGGTGTGGGTGGGGATGTTAGGAGGAATTGGCAAAAATGTTAGAAGAAACATGGGAAGCTGGAATGGTTTCAATGAGTGTGTCCATGGTCTCTCGGAGCATAAGGTTCTTTGATAATCTGATTCCAGAGTGTGGGATTGCTTTTGAGATATGCCACAGGAAGGGGGATAAAACCCAAAACTGATGGGATAGGGCTGCCACAACCAAGCGGAAGAAGTGGGCCAGCTGGGGTTAAGAGGATGGGGTCACCACTCACATGGATTAGGAAAATGGGACTGACTGGAGCCATAGGAGCCGAGTTGCCATCTTAGTGGATGTAAAAGTCGTGGACAAGGGGCCTCTTATCCAGAATCTCATGCTCATAGGAAACCAAACCTAAACCTAGACCAACAAGCGGCTGTCCGAACAAATCAAGGGACCACTGCATGTTTTAAAATCAAGAAAGATAAGGATTACAGCTGTATCCTTTCTCTATGCCTATTTAATCTGTGTGCTGAACAAACGATATAAGAAGACAGACTCTATGCAGCAAGATGTGGCATCAGGATAGGAGGAAGACTCAACAACCTGTGTTATGCAGATGCTGCAACCCTGCTTGTTCAGAGTGAGGAAGACCTGAAATGCTTCCTGCAGAAGATCAAAGACTACAGTTTCAGTATGGGTTACATCTCAACATCAAGAAAACAAAAATCCTCATTATTGGTATTTTAGAGAACACCATGATAGATGGAAAAAAGATTGAAACTGCTAATGATTTCAATGTAATAGTTCCATAATCAACACCGCTAACACCAGCAGTCAAGAAATCGAAAAATGTATTCTGTCAGGAATCTCTTCAAATTACTGAGGAGCAATGGTGTCAGTTTGAAGACTGACGTGCACCTGATTCAAGCCATAGTCTTTTTCAATCTCTTGCTATGTGTCCAAGAGCTGGACAATAAATAAAGATGACAGAATAAAAATGGATGCCTTTGAGTTATGCTGCTGGAGAAGAGTATTAAACATCCCATGGACTGCCTAAAGAACAAACAGGTATGTTCTGGAGAAGGTACAGTCAGAATGGTCTTTGGAGGTAAGGATGGTGAAGCTTTGTCATACATACTTCGGGCAGGTTGCTAATGGGTGTGTATTCCTTGTAAAAGGAATCATACTAAGAAAGGCACAAGATCAGTGAAGGAGAGAAAGACCCTCAACAAGGACACAGTGACTGTAGTATTGGACATGTAGTATGTCAGAGATGATGAGGATCTTGCGGGACAGGCCAGGGTTCAGATCTGTTATTTAAAGGGTCACTAGGAGTGGTAATAGACTCAATGTTATGTAACAACATCCAGAGTCTAGGGAGCTCTGGTAGCTTAATGGTAAGGAATTGTGCTGCCAACCCAAAAGAACACAGTTTGAATCCACCACTTGCTCTGCAGGAGAAAGATAGGCAATCTCCTCCTCCTGTGTAATTTATAGCCTCTGAAAACCCTCCGGAGGGTCACCTATGAGTTGGTTCCAATTCAATGGTACACAACAATATCCAGAGTCAAGATAGCATGTTCAACACCCAGAATGCAGAAGGCAAGAACATTGTAGAGGTCTCAGAGAACAGAATAAGACTTTTGTAAGACTTGAGAGTCAAAGCTCATTGTTCTGCTAGGTTTTGAATTGACTTATTTGATGTGCATATTGCTTCTTTCCCTCCTTTTTGTAATGAAAATATCTATCTTGTATCTCTTTTTTCATTGCTCTTTGGAAGCAGATGATTTATATTTGAGATTTCATAGACAAAAAAGTATTTTACCCAAAGTCTCAGGCATATTTGATCTGTTGTTGTTGTTGTTATGTGCCATCTAGTCACCTGCGACTCACAGAGACCCTATACAACAGCCCTAAATGCTGCTCAGTCTTGTGCCAGCTTCACTGTCTCTGACACACCCACCCCCATTGCTCCAGTCACTGAATCAATCCACCTCATAGAGGGCCTTCCTCTCCTGCGCTGTCCCTCCACCCTCCCAAGCATGACGTCCCTCTCTAACGACTAGTATCTCCTTGCAACATGTCCAAAGTATACCAGATGAAGCTGATTTAAAAGATAAAATTTTGCACTTGGAAGTGATTTAAGATTTTGAGGTTGATGTGATAGGGTGAATATGTTTTGCGTGTGGTAAGAACAGGGATGAACTGGTGGAACTATATGCCTCAAAAAGATGTTATAAATTCTAGTTTCTAAACTGCTGCTTAGGAGAAAGACATAGAAGTTCACTTCCTTAATTATTTATTGGTCTGATAGAGACTGGTGGAGCCATTATTCAGCGACCCTTGTTGTTGTTATGTGGCACTGAGTCATCTGCAACTCATAGCAAGCCTATGTACAACAGCTCTGAACCCTGCCCCATTCTGAGCTAGTCTCACTGACTCCGAAACATCTATCACCGTTATCCCAGTAACTATGTCAATCCATCTCATCCAGAGTCTTCCTCTCCTGTACCGTCCCTTCACCCTTCTAAGAGTGATATCCTTCTCCAAGGATTGGTCCCTCCTG